CTAACAAGTATTTTAATTTTACATACTTAATTACCTATTTAAAGAGTAAATTGAATTATTAATTCCTAATAAAATTGTATTAGTATTTCCTCACACAAAAGCACCGATGAATAACTAAATACAATACCAAACCTAATGAACTTAATTCTTAAAGCATCTTTTCTACATTGAGGTGTTTTTTTGAAAAATGTAGGTACCTATAACGAAAAAATTTACAATTTCTGTTATTTTTTATTGTAGTTCATAATGTGTTTAGTAATTCAAATAATATAAAATTTGAAAAAAATCAAACAATCCTTGTTTCTTGTGACATGTGCTTAAAATTGGTTCAGTGTAATTTTTCTCATCTGAACTTTTTTTTTTTTACAACTTAATTATTATTTATTCTAATTTCTAATATTAAAAATCAATCATAACTAATTCAATTTATAATGAAAAATCAGCAATTCACAACATTAGTTTACAGTTAAATAGGGGAAGACAACTCGTTTATAAACTACAGCGTTCGTATTAATTTAATTTTCACAGGCAATACGCCCGGAGTTTTAAATAGTTACTTCCAATATTATTTTTTTATAACTTATAGTTTTACCGTGGATTTGAATATTATAATGGGTACGGTTTAAAAACAACATAGGAGCATCACTACGCTCGGCGATCGCGAATAATACGTTAGGTTAATCCCATACAGCGGCACAGGACAAAAAAAATCGATTTAACAGGTTTGTTTCGACTACCAGAATATTATATATAGGTATACGAAAATGGGTGTATAATACTATCGTATAGGTACAATGTACACTTATAAAATTATAGCTTATAACATTATAATGCGATTTCAAATCTCGATATAGAAAACTATACCCATTGTCAAGGCCAATACCATATTTATTATTTATTTATTCTTATTAACTACGAATAAGACTTAATAATTATTGCGATATAATGCATATCTATATTATTATATCAAATCGATGGTGACACGCTGGAAATTATAGCAGTACATAAAATATACCCTAAATTAGTGTTTCGGACACATTATTTATAAACAAACCGGAGTACTGAGAATTAATTTATATAAATATCAGGTACCGATTGTTGGCCAAGTAATAATATCTGTTAAAACTGAGTTTCAGGCACAATCGAGTAATAATTTATTTATAGAAATCAGTACCAAGCATTAACCGACTATTAATATCTATCGAATCGGGTCTCAAGTATCAACCGCTGGTCACATTATTAAGGGAAGATTATGGATAAAAATAATGAAATTAATTGAATATCTACTGAAAACTAGTCACCTAGCTACAAACCAGTATAGCTATATTAAGTAATCGTTCGATAAAAAACTAAATATAAATATTAAATAGCAAACCATATAAATGTTAATTTCCAATTTCTACCATAGCGTGAAAACGCAATATAAAATCTTTTTTTCGTTTGGTCGATTGTGGGCACACATTTTTCTCACTACATTGACACGTAGAAAGTGAAAAAGTTTAAAAAAATTTGGTGTTTTTAAGCTATTTATAAGCATTTTATGTACTAATTGATTAAATAGATAATTTTTATTTTGTAGGTATTATGTGATAATAAACATAATATCTAAAACACGATGACGTGACGATTAAACATTATTTAAGTTTTTAAATTTTAAAATTTTGTGTAGGTGCCTATAACAAAACAGTATTTTATTTTTACGTTTATTCTTATTTATTTTTCAGAAAATGTTCAGGCTTAGGTATTGAAGATGTTATATTGCGTTGTCAATATACACTGCAATGAATTTATACAGACATTTATGATTATTATAAGCTTAAAGAATAAAACTATTATTATTTTTAATCATTATGCATTACTAAATTATTATGTGAAAAAATTATTATTCAAAAAAATGTACCTAAAATAGTTATTTTTGGAGGGTCAAGGAGGACATTAGAACGTTACCATTTGGGCGTGACTGGATTGGGCTGTTTTGGACGTGAAAACAAAAAAAAATATCTAAGCAGGTACTTTTATATGAATTTATAAAAATCATGTTGAACTGTTCATTGATTTAAATTTATTTAAAATGTTGACCCTAAAGACATTTTTTTTTTTTGTAGCATTTATAAAATATATTTTATTACTTAAATTACTTTAATAACAAATTTAAAAAAAATATCCCTATAGACGGGCGTCATAAGAGCGGAATTTAGGGTCGAAAAATTAAAATCGCTGCATGTTGCAATATTTTCCCGCTGAAATTATTATTTAATAGAGATTCGGATTATTTCATTATGAGTATATACCAAATATTTGAATTATATCTCAAACTCATTATTTGTATTTGTGTTTTTATATTGTAATTTTATTTTCACTTATAAACTCGTTTAGCCGAAAATTTGAATTTGCTGTAATTTTAAAAAAATTAACGAGTACGGATAATACATTGCATTTCCAATGCAATCTTCAAGGTTATAATCTAAAATGTTAATAATTTTTATTCTTTTGTGATATAGATTTAATTGTACCAGCAAATAGAATATTTTAATATTAATTTATCATATATTATGTACATATAATAGACTGAACAGTAATATTATGATAATGCGATTTTAACCAGTTTTAATTAGTTTTTAACCAATTTCTTTGATTTCACATTTCTGCAAAAGAGGAAATCGCACTGTTCGAAAATTGGTAGGTAATTAATATTAGGTAGGATTACAAAAAAAAAAAAGCACAAAGCTCAAAAAACTAAAAATAATACTTATACTGAAATAGAACAAAGTCGATGGCAAATTAACAGTTGAAATGGTGTTACATAAGTAAAAGGCAGATGGAGTTGAATTTACATGAATTGCAGGGATCCTTTTGTCTAATTTAGTATATAAGAGTTGCAATTAAGTTGAGTGGATTTTTGAAATGTGTAACACAATTTTGTTGATACCTATATTGAAATTATTGTCATTGCACTCATGTCGACAATGATCTGCAGTTTTTCAACTATACGGTTTCAATTATTTGTTTATATTTTGTTATGATTAATTACTGACAAGGGAAACAAATGAAAAAGATGACACCGTTGTTGGGTGTACCACTGTTTTAGGTGGGATATTGGAAAGGTATCACATGTATCATAATAATATCATAAAGTTATTTAATTCGTATCTGTAAGCAACGATAAACTATTGCTTACGAAAAACGATTCTAAGTCAAGTTGGTTTATACATGGCTTTTAAGGCTATATTATATGGTTTTCTTAAACATTTTTATCATAAAACAATATAAATAGAGACGAACATACTTCTCACGTGGGTGCAGCCATTTTTGTAGGTGGGAAGTTAAGAAGTTAAGATACAGAAGGGAATTTAATGTATATTTGTAGATAACAATAAACCATTGCAAACGAAAAACGATTCTGAGCGGAGTTCAGTTGATAGTGATGCTTTGTCAACAATATATATATATCATTTTATAGTAAAATAATTAAATAGACTTTATATATTTGTTTTGATAATGTATGTTAAATATTGTACCGATTTTCCCATTTTTCCTACGTTTTCACGGTTTTCTCATGTTTTTCCAAATGTTTCATACTTGCTGGGAAAACTCTTGAGAAAATCGAAAAATGACCACCTTAAAATACCTTCCCAGTCAGATTTCATTTCAGAAAAAACACTATCATTGTAAATCTGAGCAAAATTGCTGGTAGAAAATTTGTCCACAGAAAAATAAAATTGTATTACTTTACTAATATATTTTAAAAATGTCTCCTTTTTCCTCAGTTTTTTTTTTTTGGATCTTCACACTTGATGAAAAAACTCCTGAGAAAAAAGGGTCTACATAGTATACATCAGAGTAAGCTTTCTGTTAGAAAAAGTGTTCACATAAAAAAAATAAATATCTTTGTAAAACCAATACATTCTTTGCTATACTCAGAATCTAAAAATAACTACATTATAGTCTAATTTTTTTGTTGATTACTAAGTGCAACTTCAAATGAACTTCCTGTTAAATTGTTAAGCATTTCTGTTCGGTTATTACAATAACAATTTCATCCACATATTATCTACCGAATAAAAATTATACTAATTACACAAATTAAAATGTCTAAAATTGCTCAAAAATGGCTAAAATGTTTTGAACATTTCACCATGTCTAGAAAAGGCAAAAATATAAGTGTTCTGACAAAATTGCAAGTCTTTACGAATATTTCTTACTGAATTACAACAAAAAACACAATTTAAATTAATTAAAGCATTATTTTCGTAAATTTTCCCGTTTTTCTTACGGTGTATCCCGGATTTTCCAATATATTATAATAACCGCTTATAAAATCGAAAAATTGGCCACCTCAAGTACCATCTAAACGAAATTTCCTTTCAGAAAAGACATTGGACTTGCATGTCGAAGCAAGATTTCTAATATAAATTTTTGTCACAGTGTAAAAAAAAAATAAACATCATTGTAAAACTCATTCTTCGCTACACTCGGAATCAAAAAAAAAAAAACTATTACTAACGGATAAAATATTTATTTATTTTTCCTCGTCCTTGTCCGTGAATAAAATTAATAAAACGATACAACTCGTATATCGCGTGCACTCCAGCCACCTCCATGTCGCCCGTAATATAGGATTTTATTTCCGCGTACTTTCACGTTTTTCGTTTTTTTTTCCTATACTTTTCGCTGTACTTTTTTTTTTTATTATTGTTATTATTGCCGGTTCGGTACGTTATCCTCGGGTTATTCCATCGGAAAACGTCTCCGTTCCGCCAACCGGCCACCACTCACGTGGGTCGTGCGAATATGCGACTGCGAAAGTTCTCCCCCCCCCGTCCGTGCCTAACCTAACCGTACACCATTATTACTATTACTATTACCATTATTATTATTAATATTATTATAATTCTGTTATGAGTATACCACCGAACCGGTTCGCTCTCCTCCGCCGTACTGCTGCCGCCGATCTCGCCCAGTTTGCGCGTTTTTTTCCGGCAAAATCGCAGCGCGTTTCCGTCGTCGGCGGCGCTCGCCGTTCATTGGCGTCGGAGTCCGCGTACCAACAACACGTCCGTGTCGGCTGATAGGTATGGACGTCTCGTACATTTTCAGCTGCGCCCTGCTCGTCGCGTCCGTTTCCTCGTCGACGATCACGCCGCCGGACATACTGTGGCTCGACGAAAGTAAGTAAAATTGCATGCGTCGATTTTGTTTTGCTGTACAGATACAGAGATTATTATAATTATCATGTACGCGCGTCAAAATCTCGCGTTTTAAATAGTAATTATCGTACCTGTGCGTCTATACCGTTTATGTATTGCGGTCGGTCGGTGAAATTGCCTGTTTCCCGTGCTCGGTCGATATACTATGTTACACATCGTTATGCACGCCACAGGTTCCCCCCGCCACCCGATCCCGGTCGCGTTTTTTTTTTTCTTTCTTTCTCTCCCGTCCCGTCGCGGTCTATCGGTCGTTACATTCGTATAGGTGGGTATTATGGTCGCGCGTTGATAAAACCCGAATAGAAAGAAGGAAGCTTAAGGGGTTTAATTTTAATCCCTCCCCCCCCCCCAAAAAAAAAAACTCATCCAAGCCCTCCAGAATCAAGTTCACGTCGAGTAAGATACTCACGATGTATACGTAGGTAGATAGGTAGGTGGGTAGGTAGGTTACCTGTACCGGTATTTTTAAGCCTCCCAAAAATACCTAGACAATACGCGCCGGTGGTAATAACTCAACAGTACTCGCATATTGTATTATATTTTGCGCGTTCAACGCGTATTCAGTGTTTATCCCAACAATAAGATTATTATAAAATTCTATTGAAAATATCGTAGCAATCCGTCGATAATTTAGACATGATGCTACAACCTGCAGTTAATTATTATATACTATACTCGCCAGTCATTAATTTTTTCAATTGCACAAGACGGATATAATGTAGGCGCAATGTAACTATTGTTATTGTTGTTAGTTATTTTTCATTTCGGAGCCCCCGCTTAGTTTAACTAAAGAAGGATCCCCTCTCCGCGAAATAAATATTATGTTCGCCGTGTTTTCTATGTTTCGTCGCAAATATTACCGAAATAATTTAAGCGTTTTCGAAAAAAAGCCCAATTGTGTCTGTTAGAAAAAAAAAAAAGTCCATTTCTATCCAGAATAAATTTGATTTAGCTTACCTAACCTCCTATTCGTAGGAACTTACAACCTAACCGATATATTATAATTAAATTAATGGTCTTAAATGGACTGAAATTAAAAATTAAAAACCTACAATATTTTAGGTTTTAAATAATTATTGTCTACTATGTTGCAAATGATATTATGTCTATAGGTACCTACACAATATTTTACGGTTAACAGATATAATATGGGTTCGAATAGTCCATAATCGGATATAAAGGCTAGCATAACACTCGTATTATTATCATAATATTTTATTGATCAGGACAATGAAAAGCCGGAGTTAAAACATGAATAATATAACAAGGTACAGGTAGGTACATAAGTATACGCTATAGGAATAAAAAAATATCGTCATAGAATGAAAACAATAAACATATTTAGAAAAAAAAAACAAATCATACACGCTTATTTAGTATCGTTTAATAGTTGTTTTTTTTTCTCAACAACTCCCGTATTAAAAATACCTAACGCGAAAAAAAAATTTAATTACTTCCGTTTTTTTTTTTTTTGTATCCTTGAGTGGATATTTATGCGATTAAAATTGTATATTATGTACGTTAAATATGGGTACGCTCTTATTTTGATACCGGTGATATTATTTGTTTATAGCGTTTATACGGTTTTTTTTAAATTTCGGCGGAGATCGTGCAGCTACGGGCATATATTGGGACAAACCCGGTAATAAACTGCTGGGGTCCGACGTAGAAAATATAAATCTATAATATTATATAATATTTTTATTAAATGTCCATGGCAGAATATCGCATAGAAATACAGAATTATTTTTGAAACGTAGTATTTCGATTTTAATAATATTATGTTCACATATTCAGAATTTTATTTTATTATTTCATCAATGGTGTCATATTATTAATATATTCAAAATGTCAATTCAACAATTCGTTTATAATGATATATTCAGAATATTCTTTAAATATTTCATTTATGATGTTATATTAATAAAATATTTACATTATTATTTTACAAAATAATTATTTGATATACTACCAATATTTATTTATAATATCATTTTTTTTGATGAAAAATTGATACTAATATAATATTATCATTAAGGATATGCTATCTAGGTGTATTAACTTTCAAACCAGATAAAAAATGATACACGTGGTTTCAAAGTATTAATATTAGGTTAAAACCAGTAATATCACGGTATAAACAATAATATAATAATATATAGATTGCTATAAACATTAAATGAACATAATTGAACCCCCTCCCCCCCTATTTACGCCACTGTATTTGGCGAACGTTTAATTCGTGTAATAAATATTCATGTTTATTTTTCACAAATATATTACGTAAAACATGTTATAATTGTGACTTGAAATTAACATTTTGAGGATGTTTAACCACATAAATTGCACAGTGGGACCTTAATAATCACCCCCGCCCCCTGAAATATCTTTTTATAAACGCACCTAATATTACAGAACATTTTTAAATCAATATGCAATACAACATACGGTATTATAGTTAAAAATATATTATATTCAAACAATGAATTTATTAATTTATCATTTATTAAAAAAACGTTTAGTCAATCAGATCTAGAGTCTTATACAATAAAAGAATAAAAATTATTTTTATTTTTATACATTTTTGTTGCAATGGATAACCAAAATTTCAAACACTGAAATACCATAAAAGCAGCAAATATATCATTAGCTCAATTTGTACTCGATTGTACCCTATTCGCAATCAATGGAATTTCAAAATTTGAGAAAATATCAAACTGATTGTACTTTATACGATAAGTTTTAAACAGTTTTAACGTTTAGTATTAATAATTTAAATATAATAAGTAATATATATTGTATGACTGAAAGCAGCCCCCCAACTTTCCTTGAGAGTCGGAAAATGGACACTTTTTAATACTAAAGTCAGGCAACAGGCTAAGTATCCACAGTTAATTGAACAAAATTATTATAATTGTTGAGAAATTTTTTAGCTCACCTTCAAGAAATTGTTTTCCCAATGATTTTTACTAAAAAAAGAAGTATACGAGTGAAAGGAACGTTATGGCACTCAAAAAGTAAACACAGGAAAATAGAGAGGAGGTATTTGCAGAACCGTCCAAAAGTTTATGTAGAAATAATTGGTTTGCAGTGACTCTTTTGTCCAAAAACAAAATGAGATTTATTTCGTTGAATACATGGGAAAAGTCATGTGGATTGTCAATCTTTAAGACATAGACTGTAACTGATAAAAATCCTCTTTGAATGCGTTAAGTTGGAAACTAAAAAGTATTGGCATGACAAATCCTATAGCACTTTAAGTGCTTTGCAACAAGATTATTCAATGTAAATGTGAAAGTCAAGTGTAGAAGTGAAAATTAAGAATTTCTTTCATACTCATGCCCGATGCCCGAGTAGAGCCTTAGATCGTGTATGAAAAAGAAATAATAGCGACACTTAGCAAACGACATTTTTTTACATTAAGGCTCAACCTAAGTGTAAGTAAATTGGAAACAACACTTTCCAAATGAAACTGGAGTAAAAATAATCTGCCATGGGTGTTATTTTCTGAACAAATTTGAATTCGTGTGCAAAACGAGGAACTAGTATAGTTAAGAATCAACTACTGTGATTTGAATCCGTAGTATCGATAATGCGATAATTTTCCAGAAAAATCGTAATTAAAAATAATAACGTAATGGTAATTAATTCAGTTTTATGTTTTCCAAAATGTGTAATAAAAAAAATATGCCTATGAGTTAAAATATTATTGACTTCAGTTTGGAGTAAATCTAAAAAATAAATATCCATTTGTTTATACAGCTATACTACATTTAAAATAATACTAATAATAATATTTTTGTACAAGAATAAAATACAATATAGCAATAAAAAATATTATACGAAATAGGTAGACAATATATTATAAACAAGTGTTACAAGCCAATTACCCATCCAATTATCTAAGAAGCAATATTATGCGGATTAACTGAGTTCAAACTTCAAATTATATAATAATAATGTTATAAAATACATATTTTTCCGAAAGTAGTTACTTTTATCTATGTTTATTAAATAAATATTTTTTCTAAAAAAAATGATAAAGAATAAGTAAATTAAACACGTTTTAAACGTTTTAAATATATATGTTTACAAAATAAAGTTCAATTGAAGATTACGTACCTTGTTTTTCTTGAATTTGAATTTAATATTTGTTTTACCATTCGTTTTCAGTTTAGTGTCTGAGTATATTGTATAATTCAACAATGAAATTACTATAATATTAATATCTATTTTAAATATCCTTTTCCGATTAGCAACATTTTAAATTTCAATCATAACTGCTTAAAATGTTTATAATTGTTATTAATTATTATATGACATCGTAATATTAAATTTTAATTTATCACGATTTCGAGCGTTATTATAGGTATAATTATACCTATAACTTATATAACTTAATATTATTATTATATTTATAAGATTTTATTTCAGGAGGTTGTAAAATTAAAATCAAACCAATTTATCTGAGTACTTTTAAAAAAATAAAAAAGCTATTAGTTTTTTGAACGTATAGTAAATTGAACAGGGTCGTATACTATTGTAATAAAGAATCAGAAATTACGTCTTAAATCTGTAAACGGATCGGTGTAGATACTTTAAGTGATATTATGTTGTATTGAAAATATTGATACCAAGGTTGAACACCGTTCGAGTTCAACGAAAAAAAAAAACTAGAAATCCGTAGGTATGTTTTTACGAATAAGTACGAGTATAAATGCAAGTGTTGCTAATGCTATACAGAATCATTATACAAGACTGGTTACCCACCTAGTACCTAATATAATAATAATTGTATCTGCACTGTTTTTATAAATATAAATATATTAGAATCAATAAAATATCACAACCGCAATATTTATTTATATAGGTGGTAGTCGTGTAGTAAAATTATAAAGAATTTTACTATCGTGTAGTTTTAATTCGAATTTGACTTAAAAATGTCACTTGCAATCACTAAAACAATCGCGGTAAGCAGTGGTGTACGCAGGGAGGGAGGTTAAAGGGCTGTGAAGTCCCCCCCCAATTAGCTGTATTTATATACTTATTTTTTTATATTTTTCAAGTTTCAATTGTAAAAATAATTAGTAAATAAGGACTTTTTTCCACAAAAACACTAAAATATTTTTAATTAAATTTACCACCGCTGTCTATTATTAACCTAACTATATTACTATATTATCACAGAAAAGGATATTATTAGATTTATAAGATTAATATTTTTATCAAACTGTGGTCACATTCATTATAAACAATGGTTTTGTTACTATTACAACTTTGTCGGTTGGTGTTATCGTGCATACGTGGGCTGCTTCTTAACCTTAGATAATATCTATGATTGCAATAATGAAATTACTGAACTTATATTTCCAACAATGAACACATCGTTAAGTTATCCCACGGATATTGTAAATAACAATAAAATTATAACCTTTTGTTAATGAAAAACAGTTATGTAGACAATTTTGTTCTCGCTTATTTCTCTTGAGTATTATGTATCAAAGTAATAATATTTTTTACACGTAGGTTAATTAATTACATAATAAAAATATAATTAATATAAAACAATTAACTTTTTACTCTATTTTCAATTAAACAACCCGGACCCCTCCTATTTTACAGACTCGAATAGAAAACATTTTCCTACAAATATTGATATGCATATAACACTTAATATTGGATTTACGAGTTATAACTTATAACTAAGTACAGTGTTTAATGTCTGAAATATTGATGAATATTTTTATAAAATACTTCAAAAAACTGGAATATTTGAATTTTTTTTATTAACTTGGACCGAATACTATATAATTATGTTTTACGATTCATAATTGTCGTTATAAACAAGAAAATAATATTATTATGTCAATAAATATCAAATTCGTTTTTATTTTATATTTCGATTAAGTATAGAAATTTAAAAAAAATTCATATTGGATGTAGACTGGATGTCCTAAAAACACTGATATAGGTACGTACTTATATGAAGTAGGCGTTATGCATTATAAAAAAAAAAATCATTATTTTAAATGAAATTTAATAAAGGAAACTTTAGGATATGCAAACTCGTATATCTATATAATATAAAAAAAAAAAAATACACTAGAGCACCGTTATTAGAGTCTAATTTTACAAGGTAATAAAAAAAATAATAAAATATCTAGATGAAAATGCATTTATCTTTTATCTTTATCTAGATAGGTACCTAATTTGCTAGTTATCTAATCCGAACACCGGTTATATATTTTACATCGCGGTACCAATTATAACCGTGCGTAAACTAAATTTATTCGCATCCAGTAACCCGCTGTAAGTCATTATTTTATTAAATTGTCGTAATACATGTAATGTAGGTACTGGGAATATTTTATATATTAATATTATAAGACACTCAGTATAATGTAAACATAGTGGGATGTGTAGACGAAACGATCCTTTGTCACATCAACTTGTATAATGTAACTATACGTGACATTGGGGGACCAGCCAGGCATTGTGTTGTTTTTTTTAATTAACAAAACAAGTGTACTATTATATAGGGAAAAATACTTACAACGATAGTTTCTTTTGTAAATTATAATACGTTTTCCGTCCACGCAAAATAATATTCCAAGTATAACATGTACTGCAAGGTTGATCAAAGTGTATGTCCGCGCGCGTATAATATTATAGATATTATTTAAACAAATTTAAATAGTTTTTTAAAAATAATATATAAATCGAATAATTTTGATTTGTCCATTTTATATTTTAATTAATGACCAAGGGACTATTTGTTGTTTTGTATTTTCCATTGTTTTCATCTGGCGTAACATAATACAGGTCAGGTTAGGTTAGGTTCACGAGAAATATATTAAAAAAGAAAAAAAAAAAATTGTTCTAGATTAGTATTCATATATTGATAATGTTTAAAAAAAAACAACTGAAATTACTGATGGATGTGCTTTGTAATAGGTGGAAAATTGGGAAGGTGTTCTACATAGGGTTATTTAGTTTATATCTATTCGTAACGATAAATCATTAAGTTCGGCTTAACATGTTTAAAAATACCTACCTTCATTTTTACGTTTTTCTTCAAATATGTTGTACTTTCAAATATCGAGTATTTTAAAGTCAAATATTTTGAATTTTATATTGTAATTACATCGCACATATATCTATAATAGTAAAGGTAGATAAATTTATACAGAATATAGTAGTATAGTGTACTTATTTTATATTCGGCATGCAAACATTTAAATTTTTTTATCAAATAGACGAAGTTTGCAAAAGAAGTGTACATTCGGGAAAAACATACGTGTGCAAAGTACTGAGCGATTGCAAGACGGCCATTGATGACATACGGGACAACGTTAAATATCCGACCATTTGCTTGATCAAGGGCAATATGCCAGTGGTGTGCTGTGCGCCGGAGACCGTGTCCAGAAACGAAAGACTAGGAAAAGACGACGAGAAAAAGCCGATAGATTCGCCAGAAATTACGCGTGAGTATTATTTATAATGTACAATATAATGAAACGCCGTATTTGTATTACCTAGTGATGTGATAATTGTAACATGCGGAAACATACACATCGTAAAACAAACAAAAAACAAGTTTTTTTCATTCGGACGTCATATCGTGTCGATGATTAACGAACGAATTGCCAATATTATACTCGTATTATATTATTGTTTCGAAAATTGACAATGAATTTTAGCATTTTATTGTTTTTAACTGTGTTTAGTATTATAGCAAATTTTATACTATCGAATTTATCACGGAATTTCGGCATTGTCTGTGAATGCGTATTACAATAAATTGTTTTGTTTTTTATTTTTCTTTAATTTCGATATCAACAAACATAACGTCCTCTATAATAGGTATAGCGTAGCTGTAAGACTTCTAAGACGATACAGACAAAAAATAATCAAGTTAAAGTCTAACTTTATTGATTATGACTCATCAATTTTGTTATTAAATCTAATTTTGTGCAAAAAATTAAATAATGACAGAAAAAAAAAAAAAAAAGGTCACAGTGTGCTGTGAAAATGTTGTGAAAAGCGAAGTGGTCAAAAAAAGTTTGAAAACCACCGATTTAGACACTAGACAACTATAATATAATGAAAAATACTGAAACTATACATAGACGGACAGATTAAAACGTCCGTCTTTTCAGCAGCCTGTTAAAAATAATACAAAAATTGTTTTTATTTTTATCGTTTTAATATTTTTTAGTGCATTTTGAAAATGACAAAGACGGACTGGTCCAGGATAATCTGATCACGTTCTCACGGCCTCGCAGTAAATTGTCGTGGCGGAGCTTAAACCAACCAAATACAAACAAAAACCGAAACGAACCGCTTAGCATTATTTCTGTATAAGCGCATTTTAAATATATCTCAATTATATGACGAACGATGCCTTGAGAGACGTACTAAGGAATAAAATACAATTGGTGTCGAATGGACGATCAATTCAAAATGTCGAGCAATTATTTATCTGTACAGTGTATGCAGTAGAAGTATATAGAGAATATGGATTATTTATGTTATTACAATTGTAAAAATAGGTACCTATTGATTGTGCCAAATTTTGGAATCTTTCTGTTCCAGGAGTAAACGCCTACCAAGTTGACCAGAAAAAAAAAAAAAAACTTAGAAAATATCATTAAAACGAGCGTTTGAATTTAATTTAATGTCAACGAGAAAAATCTAAATAATGTTTTTAATTACCTATTGTCCTATATTGTATTCGCGTATTAGAAAAAATACTGGATACCTAGAAATCATAATAATATTACGGCACTGTCTAGCGGAATCACTGTGTCTAATTTTATTTATTTTATATGTATTATTATTTTTATATTATTACTCTTATTAATGTAATAATAATAAGTAAACACTCGTCTAGTCATTTTTACCATATAAGCGTTTCATATTAAATTATACTATTTTTAATCTTTTTTTAATTTTTTTTATTTTTAAGAAAGAGTTTTATCGATATGAAATTTTAAATATTTTTATCAACATAATAGGATAATATTGTATTTTTGTACGGGTACGTGCGCTAGAACTGTTTGTTTCCGAGACTATATTAATATTATAATAGTACCTAACTGTATACCTAACACATAACACATATATAGCTACATTAAATACATAATATTATGCTCGTATTATGAACTTTAATTTATAATAATCATATATTTTAATGGCACTATAGAATTACCTATTTGTATTAAAGACACGGCTGGTCAATAAATAACGTAGGAACAAGTTTGTTTCCCCACACCCCTCATAATAACATGGTAATTTATGTATACGCAATGACATTAATAGTTACTCGAACCAATTGTCATAATGATATTATTATAGTACCATTTTGAATAATGTAGAATTTTAACTTCCTGTTGCACTTGTATTCATCCTCGAATTATACGGGTTTTGATTGAATCGTTATAAAATATTAAGAACTCATCTCATGGCCGAAATTTCAACGAGAAAAAAAATCTTCTTAAAACTATACAATGGTCGTAATTTTGGTACGTAATTCAGTAAGTATCAATATAAAATTTGAAATGTTTTGACTAACCGAAAAAATCTTTTTCTTTGAAATAAAAACGAAAAATATATCTAGCAGGTAAACTATTACTGATCATTTTGAAAAATATTTCAAGTAAATATAACTACCAGGCAGAATCCGTATCATTTTAAAGTAGGTTGTGTGTGAAAAAATTGATGCATAAAACACATCAAAACTGTTTACAAAAAAATATAAATACAAAGAAATGTGTTAGAAAAAAGTATAATTGTGTTTTCTATTCGAAGTCATTACTAGGTTTTTTACAAAAAATGTGTATAATTAGTATAACTATAAAATGCCATAGCTATTTTAAAGTGGATCAAGGAATGTATTGATTTTATAATAATATTTATTTTAATTTTTTTCTGTAGACAACTTTTCTAACAATTTTGCTCAAATTTACAATAATAGCAGTTTTTCTAAAAATAAATCTACTGGGGAGGTGATTTATAGAGGTTATTTATTGATTTTCACCAGAGTTTTCCTAATAATTGGGAAAAACCTGGTAAAAACGGTAAAACATAGGAAAACGGGAAAATAGGTGTAATATTAAACAATTATGAAAAAAATGTTTAATGCAAATAATTATTATTTTACATTAATATGGCATATTATATATTGTTGACAAAGCAATATTATCAACCATACTCCGCTCAGAATTGTTTTTTCATTAGCAATGATTTATCGTTGCTTACAGATATACATTAAATTTCCCCCTATACTATCTTCCCAACTTTTCACCCTTAACAGTAGCTGCACCCATCCCCATTATCCTAGGACAATTTTTTTTTCAAGTTACAACACTTTTTCTTAGGAGTATAGTGGATATATACTTATACAAAAAAATACCTAAAAATTAGATGGAAGCAGAACCTGTCAATCACATTTGTTTCATAATTTTCAAGGATAAAACGTTAAAATCCATTATATTAATATAGCTTTATTTAAAATTGTTCACAATTTATTTAAATTTATAATATCCTCATTAAGTTTAGTCTTTTTCTTCTTCTTAACCTTGGATAAACTCTTGTCATAATTTATGTGTGTAGATGCATCATTTGTTTTCATCATTGAATTATCAACATTTCTTTTCTTTTTTGTAGGAAAATGACAACTTGAAGAATCTTGTAAAGAATTCGCTACTTTATCTAAAAGTAAATCTTTGGTGATTTCCCTGTATGTTTTCATATTTTGACTTACTAGGTCATCTGTTATAACATCCTCATTAAGTTTAGTCTTTTTCTTCTTCTTAACCTCGGATGAACTTTTATTATAATTTATGTGTTCAGTTAAATCATTTGTTTTCATCATTGAATTATCAACATTTCTTTTCTTTTTTGTAGGAGAATGACAACTTGAAGAATCTTGTAAGGAGTTTGCTACTTTATCTAAAAGTAAATCTTTGGTGATTTCCCTGTATGTTTTCATATTTTGACTTACT